AAGCAATGAAGCAGGAATAGGAAACATAGGCATTGGGCTGCATATTCACACAACCTTTTTATGCCTTCAGGACATATTTGAACCTCATTTTTTATAGACCAAGTCATTTGATGTGGAGTACTATTGTACTGAAATTTATGGTTTTATAAATTAAATAATCCTTACAGTTTATAGTGGGCATATCAGGTCAATGGGCAAATGTTCCTTTTCTACTTTGGGCCAGTAGTGAGTCAAAGATGTTTCTCTAAAGAAAGAAAAATCATCTACAGATGATAATTTAGCTTTGCTCCAAAATCATATTCATTTATCCCAGAATCCTAGATTCATAATAATTTCATATGGTTGGTAAGCCCTCAAGTTTTGTGGGAATAAATCATCTCCTACGTCTGCCACACATGTTTACCAAACTGTCTAGAGTTGTTTCTTCTTGCTAATCATCAGATTGAATCTTGGGAGTGGAAATTCACCTTGGATATTGAGTGTCCCTGCATATTCTTGCTGGGTATGCCAAGAATGCATGGCCCTGATTAATGCCTTCCAATATGATTTCTTGGAATTGTTTTTATGTTGAACAACCTTGAAAGATGAGCTACCATCTCACTACAAAGAACTGGCTTGCTCCCATTTGCTTCAACATTTTGTAACCAGAGACCTGATGCACAAAATTTGTGCAAGGGGCTCTGAGGGCTGAGGCTGCAGCCCCAGTTGTCGCTCCAGCCCTCATAGCAGCAGCCCCAGAAAGACGCCTGGAAGGACCTCTGGTCTAATTAGCATATTACCCTTTTATTAATATAGATGTAGCATGTAGGCAGGCCCTATGTTACCTCAGTGGGATTTCAGGGAAGATGAGGAATTGACACAAATTAAGATGAAACTATTGGCATTACATTTGCTATAATAATAAAGTCCTTTATCCCGAGCCTAAGAATGGCATGTCTTCTAACAACCATGAAGCAGTCACATTTCCCTAGCAAGTTTTGCTCAGTGGATAGAGCATCAGCCTGCAGACTGAGGGGTCCTGGATTCAGTTCCAGCCAAGGACAAGTATCTAGGTTGCAGACTCATTTTCTGGTCCTTTTCGGGGCAGATGGGAAGGCAACCAATTGGTGTGTCTCTCTTACATTGATGTTTCTCTATCTCTGTCTCTCCCCCTCCCTTCCACTTTCTCTAAAAATTAATGGAAAAAAATATTTGAAGGTGAGGATTAACAAACAAACAAAAAAGAAACAGTCACAGACTAACTTGTATCTATTAAATTAAAAATTTCAGGCTATATAGTTCTTGGCAATAAGCAAATTTCATCAATAGAATGAATTGGCACGATAATCTTATGGAATAGATATATTATCAAGTTCTCTTCAGATGCAATGCAACAGGGCTAGAGAGTTGATACACCCAGAGGAAGAAGAGTACAAGTGCACTATTGTCCTCCACTGAAAATAAATAGCTTCTGATTATTTTTATTAGAAGGTATAGATTAAAATAATTCTCTAGAACAAGAGCTGAATATCATGTGCCAAAACATATATAGATTTGTACCAGAACACAGCCATCCTTGAAAAAGCAGCTGTAGTCACATGTAAATGTGATAATCAGCTATTGTTCTATAAGCTCTATCTGCCTCTGCACAGATCTAACAGGTGAATTAAATGGGAGTGTGTTAGGAGTTACCATTCCTGCATCTTTCAATTTCTTAGTCATGGTACTAATCATGGAAATTCCTCCAGGATTGTAATGCTCTATCAGTTTACTTTTTTAGGAGATAGAGGCATTTCTTCTGACTTCCATTTGCCCTTCCTACCCTAACAGCCCTCATTCCATAAGGCAGGGAACCAAGGTGAGGGCTCTGCTAGTTACTAAGTAAATGTATTCTAACTTTGCATTGTGATATGGGGAAAATATTATGAGGTGTCTTTGGGAGTGCACTGTGAAATGGACCTGAGTCAAGATTCATTGAATACATGACCTCCTGTTGTTCTACTTTGAACAGTGGTCATAGTATATTTTTGGATATTTAGCAGTTAGTCAGTTCAGAGCTAGTATGCAGTAATATAAAAAATGTTTGGTTACTTTCTCCCAGTGGACATATACCCTACTAAGATTCACAGGACCCTTTAGGAAAGCTAAAAAGGGAGATTTGTAGTATAAAATTTGGGGCCTGACCTTTTCAGTCACAGGATCCTGTATATATGAAATAGCTCAAGTTTTGCTGAGGAGCAATGACTCTTTATTATGGTGATTCAGTTCAGACTTGTGTTCAACTGAATTTATCTCTCCAATCAAGACAGACACTCTTTAATAGGTTACCCATCTATTTCAGTTATATGGACATTATGATCAACTAGATAATGTCAAAATTTTATCAGTCCATTTTTCCATCTGATTGAGACTTTGGCTCTTCAGCCCATTATGGTAACCTCTCCCACCTTGACGTATGATTAAGAGCTGTCACTTGATCCCAATGCTCAAGAATTCCTTCATCCACATGGAATTCAGAAAGCCTCATTCACTGGCAGCAATTCCATCTTCATCAACAGCCTCAAAAAATATACATCCCAGAGTTCTTCACAAAAGCTATAGCTCTCCTCACAAATATAATTATCACACCTTCAGTGAGGAGAGGGTCCTCTGGATCATCCCATGAACAGAGTTTGGGATTGGATGTCCAGGCCTTACATGATGAATTCACTGTATTATTACAATCTCTTCTAAAAATCTGAGCAACTTATTTGCTAATATATCAGTCAAATAGTGGAATTTAAATCTCCTTTAGTGTAGTCTATCTTTGGGTCCAGGTTTTACAATCTGAATGAAAGAATACTCAAAAGCAGGAAGCAATAAAAAAAAAAGGGGGGGGGGGAGGGTGAAAAAGACCCTGAATCAAAGCAAGGTATAAAGTAAAAGTTGAAGAGTACAAACCAAGCCAACAGTCAGGTGATGCCTGCAGTTGTATATATGTTTGAAAGACATAGGTTTAGTAATTTACAAACCACAATTATAATTTTGAATAGATTACCAATCCTGTGTGTGTGTTTTTAATACCTACACAAAACCTCATAAATATCAGAAAGTTTAAATGTGTTTTAATACACAATGCTTACAAAGGACCTCAACTTCAGTCCCACACTCCAGTGCCTGCCATATCAACTCTTCAAAACGTCTTTGAGGAAATACTAGACCCAGTTTTCAACCTCTTAGTTAAGTGTACACAATAAAAGAATGGTCCTGAGGATCCCCTTCCTACCTTAGAAAAATGATACAGTACATCAATGCTGTTCACTAGTGGAGTCAAGGAATCCTGGCTTGGTGCCAACCTGAAGTTGAAATGAAGAGGTCTTCCCTTTCTATGGTGTTGTCCACAGCTGACCAGTGGACAATAAGCCACATTTTCTGTGATGGCCTAGGAATGCTTATCCCAGCTCTTGTCTTTTTCTTCTTCTGATCTTGTTTTGCTCCACGTTCTTATTTTCCACAGCTATGTTTTGGCTTGATATCCCACTGCCTTCTCAGCTGACTTGTTTGTTTTACCATTTCAAGTATTTTTCCCTAAACCCTCTGCCATAAGAGGCACTTTCAAATCAATGAACTCTATAATCCTATAATTATAAAGGATGGCAACTAGATCTGTGGTAAGATAGAAAAAAAAACCTATCTGTGTCCTCTATAGAAAACATTATTTCTAATGAGCTGGTCATGAGAAATTCTTGATTCCTCAGTCCAATAAATGATGTAGGGAGAAAGTATTATAGACAATTATTTATTACTACATAGCAATGTAATAATTATAATAATATAATTCTTTATACAACTGACTAATCACAGGCTTGGTCAAGGACTTCTGTTTGGAGAAGACACTCATCTGCCTTCTTAGTCTATTTTTTTTACTTAAATATACAATGATGTTTCTTTTTATACACATATGTTATTTGCTCTAGCTACACTAGTATGACATATGGGGTATGTAACTGCTCCTCCTTCATACATATGCTTGCATATATCACTATGTAGGCACACATTTCCTTGAGGCCACTGAAGAAGGTGAAAAAATTATGAAAGGGGTGGTTGGATATTTATATTCTACTCAGCTTGAATTTAGAACTACTTTTAATTCCCATGTTCTGGATTTAATCCTCATATCAATAGAGGGCTCAGTGCCAAAATCTGACAATATGGTGAGGTGGTATTTATTTGTTTGTTTTTGTGTGCATGTGTGTGTTCGAATGTATCTGTAATGCTGATTCTTTGTTGACTAACACAAAGTTCCCATTTGAATGAGAATATAAGGATTGAGCCATATATGCAGACACACAGCAATTTTTACTTCACTTTATCTACATAGTCTTTAAGTCCAGCAGTCATAAAACAAAATAAAACAAACAAACAAAAAAACACCGCTTTCAAAGTAGTGATAAGATTATTTTAGGAGGAATGAAAACAAAAAGTGGTAGCTCTCATTCTCTTCATTTGTATTTTAAAATATTTTTGTTGCATTTCAGAAACATTTTAATTTTGACCTAAAAAATATATAAAAAATTTTGACTTCATGAGACTTTTTTTTTCTTAAAAGTAAGTCCCCATTATAACTAGTTTCCATAAAAATAAGAGTATGAATTATTTGAAAACCTTATTTGTTAAATTCCTGATGCTTTTATTATAAGCAATACCAACAGTTTTGTGTGTTAAACCTAGCTTTCATTTGATTAATGTGATTGATTTTTATGAACTGTATTACATCTGAGAGGTTATGTATGGCATTGGCACTGAGATTTAAAAAGTAATCATAGATTGTATATTATTTTAAGAAAATGATGGTGTCATATTGATTTATTTCACATTTCTCCAAGGACATTCTTTAGTTTTGCTATATATTTTCAATTAAAAATTATAACAGAAAAATTATGTCTTAAAGTAGGCACATTTAATTTGTTTATATATATATATATATATATATATATATATATATATATAAAATTTTGAAATAGAAGCTTGTTTATGTCAAATAAATTCAACAGTAGTATCAAGTGTAAATTCCTGCTCTTATGTAGTTCTCAAGTTTGGTTGACTAGGAGGTCAAATGGACTCAATAGTACATCGTATTGGGATGTGCCAGTATAAGCTCTTTTAAAATCCAAAACAGCCTTAATTGGGACAAAGTTATTCACTAAAAAAAAAAGAAAAATGTCCTTCAAATTAAAAGAGTTGTTTGCTATCACTGTGTTTTTATTTAAAAGTAAAATATTTTAAAAAGGAATATCTAATTTTTTAATGTGTTTTTCTGATCAGTTCATAGACCCCTCATAAAAGTTTATGGGTGCACATGGAAACCTAACTCAAAGATGTTGCTGTCCTTTTGCACATGAGCAGACTGCTAGCAGTTCATCTCCCTGATTATGCAAAGATGGAATTATAGCAAGAATTACTACAGGCTGGTAGGTTTGAGTTGTCTCCTTTATGTTCTGTGACAAATGACCTACCTAGCTGCTTGGCCATGCAGAGAGGCTTGGAACAACCAGAGAGATGACAGGACTGCTGATATTGCTAAAGGCTGGTTGCCTAGTGTAAATTTCTACTGAAAACAGATTCTCTCCACCCCCCCCCTCCCCAGTATAATCAGGTAAATATTCTTTGAGTTCTAAAAATGTTCCATGAGCTCATTCTTGAAATTACCATCAAGTGTAGTAGTAAGTTTAGCAAGCATTTAAATATTGTATGCATGAATGATTTAGAAATAATATGATTAACAATAGCATCTATATTAATAAAAGGATAATATGTTAATTAGACCAGGAGACCTTCCCTATGTCCTTCTAGACAAAGCCATGGTGGCAGGGCTGAGGCAGAGGTGGTTAGGGGTAATCAGGCTAGGAGGAGAGGGCAGTTGGGAGCAAGTAGGCCAGCAGTAGGGGCAATTGGGGGTGCTCATACCAGTGGCTGGTGGGGGGCAAGTTGGAGGCAATCAGGCTGGCGGGAGGGAAGTTGAGTGAGAGCAGGCCAGTGGGGGAGAGCAGTTGGGGGCAAGTAGGCCAGCAGGGAGAGTGGTTAGGGGTGATCAGAAAGGCAGGCAGGTGAGCAGTTAGAAGCCAGCAGTCCCGGTTGAGAGAGAGATGTCCAATTGTCAATTTAAGGATCGGGCCTAAACTGGCAGTCAGACATCCCCTGAAGATATCTCTGATTGGAGTGGGTACAGGCTGGGCTGAAGAACTCCTCGCACCCCTATGCACAAATTTTGTGCACAGGGCCTCGAGTATAATAAAATAAATATAATATTTAGTAATAGATTATCAGGAGATCTCAATTATTTTCCCAAAATTTACATTGGACTATTAATTATTATATATTTGTAGTAAGCTAAAATTTATCTAAGGACTGATATTTCCATTAGACTTCTTTTTCTTTTTATATACACTTTTTATTTCAGTGAGGAAAGGGAGAGAGAGAGAGAGAGAGAGAGAGAGAGAGAGAGAGAGAGAGAGAGAGAGAGAGAAACATTAATGGTGAAAGAGAATCATTGATTTGCTGCCTTCTGCACACCCCCTACTGGGGAATGAGCCCACAATGCACACATGTGCCCTGACAGGGAATTGAACTGTGAACTTCTGGTTCATAGGCCAATGCTCAATCACTGAGTCACACCAGCTGGGCCCTTTAGACTTCTTGATGTCAAAATCATGCTTCCTTGTAAAAAGCATGCCTAGATCAGTGCTTGTATTATTGCATTCTACAAAATAAAAGAAACTGGAAAAGTATTATGATAGGGTAAGAGGTTCAGAAGTTAGATTTTTAGGATAGATTTTGGATTTTTTCTTTTTTAAACACAGTTGCCTTACCAACAGATGTAACAAAGTCAAATAAATATGAAGCAGTGTTCACAGCTAGACATGTAAAGAAAATGAAAACCCAAACACTTACTATGTGCTAAAAAAAAAAAAAAAAAAAAAAAATGAAAACCAACCTTAATAAATACAAATCTATCCCCAGGAAGTGTCTAAATCTAAAATAGCCATGAGATAAATAGTGTTGCTTTTTCTGACCAATGAGAGATTTGTTTCTATACACAATTAGAATTATCAGAAGAAATCTTATTCAAATTGATTTGATTACTTTTATTGTACAGGGCAGAGATCCTTTTTATTCTACAGATGTGCAGATGAAACAATTTGCCTGGTTTGGCTCAAACATCTAGGGAATTCCTAGAGACCACTCATAGTAATAAGAAAAGTTGATCAACCATTCACACCTGTACTTTGAAGAAAATAGGACACATATTATTACCTCTAGTATACAAATGATAAATTGTAAGCCCAAAATGGTGAAATAGTTAAGATCACAGTTAGCTAAAAATAGGATGTGAATTTAGCCTTTCTAATCTAATCAAATATTCCTTCCATGATGCCAGATTTGCTAGTAAGGTGGTCTTTCTCTTATGCATTTCTTTATTCCACTTTCCTTCATTTCCAAGATTTTCCAGTACTCCTATTAATGTTTCTCTCTCAAATAAATCTTTGACATTTCTTTCTCAAATAAATCGTTGACATTTTACCCTGTATGCCAATTATTAACTTTAGTTATTTGGTCATTTTAGAATAATCAAAGATTATATTAAACCCCTCCAAAGTTAGGAGCTTTTAAATTTGAAATTATAATTCACTGGCTTATACTAATAAATTATTGTCAATTGTCTAGACAACATCTAAAATTACTTAACACAACTCATTTTGTTGTGTTACATAGAACTTTGAAAATTGTAGTGTTAAAAATTGATGATACACAGCCTTCTTTAGCACCAGTTATCATGCTATCATCTATCTCTGGAAAATGATTTTTATTTAATTAAATAATAGTTTCTCTGATGACAATTCTTTAGAAGTAAACTATTATGACCTTAGTGCAGGAGTTGAATATTAGTCTTAACTGATTTATTCAACCTACACAATTTTGATGAACTTCAAATGTATCAATATCCTTTGTTCAAGGTAAGCAGAAGTTGTCAATATACCTCTGCAACCGTACTAACTCCTCACTTGATTATAATGGAAACTAAACTTAATTTTGTTTATTCAATCCCTTTGAGTTCTCATGACCATAGTTTTCAAATTAGAAAAAAAAACAAACAAACAAACAAAAAAAAACATGAGAGGAACTTTATCCAAAATTTCAAGTTGTGCTTTTTTCCATTGCCCTCACATAGCAACTCTCATCAATTTAATGTGTTGATAAATTGTTTATTTTTTATGCTAGTTATCTAAGAAGGATTTTATGGTAAGAAAATGGCTGATATATAACATCCCTCTGCACTTTTGCTGGTGAGGTGTTGAAAAATACACAATTATGCAGCATCTTTAAATCCAAAGGTTTCTGGCATATCTATCATACCACAATTTGTTCTATCTCAATAAATGATTCCACATTTTTACTTCAAAGAGAAAATTGACCATATCAAATTATCACTTCTCCCTCAACCAATTTTATTTGTAGCATTATTTCCTCCTCAGCAATGCAAACAAAGTTGTCTTTCCCCTTGAAGGCTGTTTCTATAATCTCTTTTACTCTCTTCTCCTGAGAGATTTGTTCTCATGTCATCAAATTTTCTCTCTACCAAATATGTCCCTTCAATACAAAAAAGACATAAATTTTAAAACAAAGCAAAAACTGCCTCAGAATAAACCCGCCCATTTCACTCTATCTGGCAAAAATACCTAGTAATCTCAAAATATTTCCCTTTATTTGAACTCGTGAGTGCTTTGTAATTTTATTTTCCAATGTTATATTCCCTCTTAGTATCTTACCCCTTCTCAGAGTATTTATTTTTATTTATCTCCAAGTCTGTATATCAGCCAAAAGTACCATACTAGTTTATCCATTTGCTTATTGGAATGCTCTACCTGGATATCCCAAAGATCCACCCAAATGCACATAATATAATTCATTATCTTTTCACCAAAATTCATTCCTCTTGAACTTTGTTGATAATGACATTTACCCAATTTGCTAAATGATCCTAGACTAAGTAGTCACTTTTTTTTAAATCAATCTTTATTGTTCATATTATTACAAAGGTTCCTCATTTCTTCCCCCTTCCACCAGGTTCCCACCCCACCCTCCACCCCCTCCCCACCTCCCATTGTCCTCATCAATAGGTGCACAGTTTATGTTCAGTCTCTTCCTCTCCCTCCCTCCCCCCCCCTCCAACAGTCAGTCCACTCCCCTCCCATATCCCCGACTCGACTCTACTACAATGAACCGCTATTATTGTTCATCAGGTTTTTCAATCTCCTTTTTGTTGTTGTTGTTGTTGTTGTTTTAATTAATAAACTTTTACACTTCTAAGAATAAATTTTAAAATCTAATAATTTTAAACCTTGTTTTTGTTTTTTTTTTCTGCCCTGGGAATTGAGAGCAAACTTGTTTATATGTAAACTTGCCCTTAGGCTATCAAAAGGTGTAGCCATTCAAGTGTAAATGGACACATTGTTTAAACATAGCTGATGGTTGGAATTGGATTACCTGTTCTGGGTGGGAAGTGCTTGTCATTCCCTTTCTCCATTAAAATTAAGGTGTTAGCTTTAAAACCTCTTTTTGGCAAGAGACCTTAAACTTTCAGAACTTTACATTTTTCAGATAGTAAATCAGTTACTTAGCATTTTCTCAAATCAATAATACCTCCACATGCCCAAGGATACGCTTCACACAAAAGACATTTCCAAATAGATCAACCAACCTCATCCAGGCCCCGCACAAGGCACTCACAGATCAACACCCTGAAACTTTTGGGGGAACTTGAGGGTCTGCTGAATCAAATGAGGAAGGCTTAGATCTGGATGTGTTGAGTTAGTAAGCACTGAGTTAGTAAGTAGTCACTTTTACTTATCTCCCCACCTAACTTTTCACCAAGATTTCTATTCCTATCTCTTTGTATCTCTCTAGTTTATCTTTCCATTTTGATTCATTCTTTGGCCTAAAGCATTTGGAGATTACACCTTTTGTTCTATTCTCCTCCAACCCTCCACTTTAAAAAGAAATAATTAGCAAATTGAAACTAGTAATGAATAATGAAGATAATATAATGAACAAATAAAAAAATGAAGTAATGTATATTGAAATTGGTTTCTACAGAAAAAAATGTTGGTTTTAGGAAAACTAATGATAGTAATGAAATTCATAAAGAAGCCCTGGCCAATATGTCACAGTTGGTTGGGCATCATCCCATCACCAAAAGGTTGTTGTTTCTATTCCCAATCACTGGTTGCAGAGCTCAATTTATAGGGCTCAGTCCCTGGTTGGGGGATAGGGATGGGGGGGCAGAGGGGGTAGCCTATCAATGTTAGCTCTCACATTCACATGTCTCTCTCTTCCACTGTCTTCCTCTCTCTTTAAAAATCAGTGAACTCTTATCTCCCCCAGATCTCCCTACCCTCCCTGCTGTAATTTGACAGTCTGCTTGTTGCTTTACTGTCTTTATATCTGTCTTTTGGTTCATCAGTTTATAATGTTCTTTAATATCCATAAATGAGTGAGACCATGTGGTATTTCTCTTTCATTGACTGGCTTATTTCACTCAGCATGATGTTCTCCAATTCCATCCAGGTTGCTGCAAATGATGAGAATTCCTTCTTTTTTATGACAGCATAGTATTCCATTGTGTAGATGTACCATGGTTTTTTTTGATCCAATCATCTGCTGATGGGCACCTAGGCTGTTTCCAGATTCTAGCTATTGTAGATTGTGCTGCTATGAACATAGGGGTGTAACCGGAGGACTTGTATACATGGATATAAGTACAACTAATGGACACAAAACTCTGGGGAGGGAGGGTATGTATGGGAAGGGAGGCAATGCTAAAATATGTACACAGATAATAATTTAATAAAAAAAAGTGCACAAAGGAAAAAAAATTTTAAACGAATAAAAAGAGGATAGATTATAAAAAAAATCAGTGAACTTTTTGTTATAGAAATAAAGAAAAATATAACTTTCTCAATAGATGCTAAAAGATTTACATAAAATTAAATAAAATCCAAAGTCTGAAAAAAATCAACATGCATTTATTTTTTACAAAAAGTAATCTTTTCTTTTCTAACTGGCATTACAACTGAGGTTTCATGACTCTCACTTCAGTTCAGTTGCTTATGGGTGACAGGGGCCATAGTAAGAACATAGCCCATTGATTTCACTGTTAGATAAATTTTGTGGTGAAATAATCTGTTTTAGTAAATATAGGGAATTAAGACAGTTTAGCTATAGTAATTCTGGCAGAAGCAGGAAAGGAAGCAAAAGCAAGTTAATAACTGCAATAAGTATCTATTCCAGGGACTATAAATCACCACCTCCTCCATTATAGACATATACAATGAAATCAACCTTTCACCAAGCGACTGAGGCTCAGTTTTGTTTCTGCTGGTTTGGAGGAGTCTCAGCAATAGCAGTAGCCAGCCCTAGTCAGGGAAAACCCACATTGTTGAATCCAGATATCAGCGCCATTCTGATACCCTGGAGCAAACACAAGGGTGACAGGACAAGTGCTTAATATTTGTATAATGAGTCACTCTGTCCACTGCATCATTGATACCATCTTCTGCAGAGAATTCCCTTTGGTGAGCATTTTGTGGGTAACAACTGTTGTCACAAGTTGAGGGTATTCCAAGAAATCCATGCACATACTTCTTACTCCCAACCACTTTTTTCTAATTTTATGATATTGTTCCTTTGAAGTTTGAAAATGTTTGACCAAATGTTAAATAATGGTCATCAGTTGGATGAGCTTTGCCTCTGATTATCTTTCCTTCTAAGCACAGTTTACATACAGCTTTGATACTAGATGGTCTGCCAACTTTGAAAACATCATCATGATTAGCAATAGTAATAAAAATTGAATAAACTATTAAACACTATATACTAGTATATACACATATATCTTAGTTAATCCTCAATGCACCCTATGGATTAAATATGATTTTCCCCCATTATATAGATGAAGAAATAATAATAGAGAGGTTAGCAAAGTAAGTAAAAGATATATATGGAATGTATAGCCCTTTATAAGTCATATAAGTAGGGGAATGTTCATAACATCATTGGTTATAACAGCAAAAACAAAACAAATGAATACAATAATAGAAAACAGTTCCAAGGACCCCCACAATAGAATAGGTAAATAAGTTGTGGCATATTCATATAGAGGAATTTATTGTCACAGTCAAAATCAGTGGCCACTTTCTTGTAGAAGTTGCTTTTGCACAGGGTGATAGAATAAACTATGTGTAACAATATGGTTAGCTCTAGGAAAATATTATTGAGGAAAGAAAAATTAATTGCAAAGCAATATTTATTACTCCTTAAATGTAAAGTTCAAAATAAATCTAAGCAAAATACATTGTAAAAGTTAAAGATTTGTGTTATAATAAAGTAGAGGAAGTTAATAAATAAGTTTACTATTGATTTGTGCAATCTGGATAGATGGGAGAAAAATAAGAGGTATGAACAGAAGACTTTAAAGCTAACAGTGTCATTTTATTTCTTAATCTGCATCCATTCTCTGTGCCTTGTACATATTTTATAAATGTTTATGTATCAATTTAATATTTATTAAAATAATTTTTAAAAGTTATAATAAATCAAATTCACTAAATTTAAAAATAAGTCCATAGAATAAAATATAGTTTTTACATTTCTATGCAATAAGATTTTCTTTTTTTTTTTAAAGGAATAATTTAGGATATTTTATAATCAAAGAACTTCAGAAATCAAGTGACATTTGTGATACCAAATCACATGTGGGAATTAAAAATGAGAATTTGTAATAATAATTTAAACATCAGAAGAGAAATATGGAGAACAAATATAAAAATTTTAATGGATAATTGAATGTCAAACAACTGCATTATTTATCAACTTCATAAAAGTGAAAAAAATTAAAAGAAAGTGTTAAACTAAACATTTCATATTATGTCTTTGATGTTAACAAGTCTAGATACTGAAAATATTCCAAAGAAAGCATTATATCCATGCTACTGCAAATTAAGTGCAACTTCTTACACCAAGAGAAGTTTCAAATACCTCATAGGAGGATCATTTTTCCCCCTCTATAATTACAATACTTGTTGGAGAACATACAATTGTAGCCCTGCAATGTGCCTAGAAGGGAAAAATAAAAGTCTTCCTTTGGTATTAGCCTATCTTCATTTGCAAGAATACACCTTTTATCCAAGTGTATTTGCCAAGATTGAAGTAAATTATGACAAGTGCCTTGGGATATACAATCACCAGCAGCAGGAAATCTGAAAAATTGAGATGCATAAATCATTGTCAAGTGGGAAAGTGTCTAATATTGTTAGTAAAGAGAAAGCACAAAAGAGGAAGAATGGATTAGTTTAAGGAACCCCACGGCATTTACCTAAATTATGTAAACATTTCTTTCAGAGAGAAACTTCAGCTCCCCAAAGATAAGTGAAATTGCACACCAGCAGAGGACTTTGGAGTAACACAGGAAGAGAGCTGAGGTGCTGAGCTTCTCTGCCACCTCCTCTTGTCTCAGACATACATTTGCCTAGAGGAGCTGAGTGCATGATATCTCAAGGTCTTTAAAGGATATGTTTATATTATTTCATCATTTTATCCAAATAAAAAATTGTTTTAATGTAATGAGCAATAACTAAATGCCAAACATTTGATGTAGAGTATCTAAAAGTTCTTTCAATAGTTTTGCAAAGTACTTATAGTCATCACTACTCTTAAGGTTGATGAAACTGCAGATTAACAAACTTAAGCAATTTTTCCAACATCACACATGTAAGAAGTGTGGAATGTGAACTTAATTGTCCCTGACTGCAAAGCCCACATATTTTCCAATATAGCAGGCTACTTCATGAAATTATACTAAGCTGTGAAAATGACTTTACTTCCCCCCCCAACCCCACCCCCACATTTTTGGATGGGCATGGCATGTGAAACTTTCCAAACAAAACTCTTCAGTAGAATGTATGATATTGGGTCTAATAATAGATATGTTGCCCAGTGACCTTTAATTTATATATATAAAAGCCTAAGCAACCAAATGACCTAACAACCAAACGATGGAACAACCAGTTGCTATGATGCACACTGACCACCAAGAGGCAGATGCTCAATGCAGGAGCTGCCCCCTGGTGGTCAGTGCGCTCCCACAGCCAAGCTCCAATGACCCTTCCCCCCACTGGCCAACCTCCTGCAGCCCCTCCCCCAGCCAACCTCTCACAGCCCCGATTGGCAACAATCACTGGCCAGGCAGAGGGACCCCACTTATGCATGAATTTGTGCACCAGTCGGTCCTCTAGTACAATATTTGTATAATAGCATTTGTCAGAAACATGCCAAAGTTAATGCATACCTTAAAATGAAAATAAAACCAAACATTGGTTTGAAAACTTTGGCCAGTTCATAAACTATCTCTTTGTAATGAAGGCATTAAGAAAAGTTTAATGAATTCAGAGTTGGAAGAATAGTAACCAGATAGTAACTAAAATAAAAAATTGAAATTATGAAACTTCAGATTACAGGTACTAATGTCAATGCTTTATTAAACAAGGTATTAAAATAAACAACACTGGGCCTTTCTGATTAAAAGTTTATTTCTAAAGAATATCTCAGGTGGTAAATCAAGGAAGTGTGCCTAGGTAAAAGGAGACATTTTAAAAACTAAAAATAAGATTGTGTTATCACAAGCCTGAGATCATCAAATATTTATACAACTTCTGAGCTGGGAGATGCTCTCTTCTAGATGACTAGATGTAACAAAGCTATGTGGCATAGTAATAGCAGTAAATATTCTCATGAAAAATAAGCATTTTTATATTAAGCATTGAGAAACTTATTTCCTAATGCCTTGAACAATTCAATATTCCCAAGATAAACTTTCTACTCTAAAACAAAAAACAAAAACAAACAAACAAACAAAAAAAAAACAACCTGCCTCTGATCAAAACTAAGCAGGAACCTAAGAATTTATGAGTGTTACAAACTGCTTTACATATAATTTATCTGACCTGTGCCATAGCTGCATTAAACATTAACAATTAAAAGTATATATTTTCTTTAGGTATTCAATAGAGACTTAAATGAATGTAGTAAAGCATTTGCAATTCACTACAGTATACTCCAATGTTCCCAAGCTGAACAAGACTTTTATTCCTCAAAACCTGGAAACAGCCATGATTCTAGGCTATGAAGATAGTCATTGTTCATTCCATTTGCTTGTCCAGTCTGTGCATCTAACTTGCTCTTTAACTATATTCTTTTATAAGAAACTAGAGGCCCAGTGCATAAAATTCATGCATGGGTATGGTCCCTAGGCCTGGCCTGCAAACAGGCCATCTTTCCCAACTGCCTGCAGTCGGCCCCGCCCCCTGCTGCCATCTACCCCTAGTTCCTCGTTAGCTGACGGCAGGGGGAAGAGACCAAGAGGTCAGCTGTTCCTGCCCACTCACTGGCCCCAACCTTGCAGTGAGTGGCCATCAGGCAATCAAAACCCTCCGGCAGGAGAAAGGGACCAAGAGGTGGTAAGTGTGCCTCATAGTGACTGGTCCAGCCGTTGTTCTGCCATTAGGGTTAATTTGCATATTACTCTTTTATTATATAGGATTATATAGGATGGTATAATGAATTGGTTATAAGCATAGGCTTTCTGATTGTGAAGAAGCTGGCTGCAAACTTTGGTTTCACAATTACCTGGTCTAACAACTATTATACTAAACCACAATAAGCTAGATTTTTTTTAAAAACTGTTAAACAGTCCAGAGATGTAAGATGCTGATGATACCTTGCCATACTAGCAGCCAGCAGCTGTGCTCCACTGCAGGTTGCCCAGGACCAAACCAGAGAGGGTCGCACCTGCATTACCACCATTTGTCCACCATCCAGAACTGAAATATTATTGCTGACATGTACACATAAGGAATAATTTGACATAGAAACTGGGACTCAAAAGAACTGTTGGCCCAGAAAGAAACTCACTATAGACTTGTCTCTCAGCATAACCATTATTGCTTGTTTCATTTTCGGTTCTTATAAGTATATTTCTAGTATCACATGAGCTCAACTAATCTAGGGGAAATGATGAACATCATAGACTGATGAATAAGAACAGCATCAATCAGATTGTCAGACTTCAGAGGGAAGGTAAGGGAGGGTGGGGATAGGGGAGAGAGATCAACCAAAGGACTTGTGTGCATGCATATGAGCCTAACCGGTGGTCACAGACAGCAGGGGGGTGGGGGCATGTGTGGGGAGGGTTTTGGGATGGGAATGGGGGCCAGGGGGATGAGGACAAATATGTGATACCTTAATCAATAAAGTAATTAAAAAAAACTATCAAACAAGACTAAAATTAGAACTTATTATTGGTGCTGTAAGGGCAACTCAATAAATAATACACATTTCTTACGTGAATTCTTAATCAATAGAGAAGTAAAAAAAACTTAGTATCTGGAGACTAAAATATCTCCCTTATTAGTTTTAAGATTTATCTTCATGATTATGATTTATGTCTATGAGCAAGTGGATGGATCTCTGACATTTCACAGCAGGATTAGACAGATATATCCATCATGCAATCCTGACCTTATAAAGTGTACAGCAATGAACATATGCTATGTGCAAGGATATCACTTTTCAGAAAGAACCATCCAACCAAGCAAGTCCAACTTTATCAAGAAGAGAAGTCACTCCATCTAACCAGGTGACAAGAGGATAAAAGACCTTAAGAGATGAGGAGAAATGCAAAATAGGTGCACTCCACAAGAAAGGAAATGTTAGAAGTAGGAAAGAAATACTCCTTACCCCGCCATTTTAAATAAGTGGAGTTTTAAATTAGAAAATGAATGAAAAGCACTTAGAACACAGTACATTTTCAAAAACAATTAAGTGCTACTATGTTGTATGTGATCAATGCCTTCTACTGTTTTCTTTCTTGAGTTAAAATACTTCTCCAACATGCCTAGCATGGTGAATGCTGTAAAATAACTGTTTGTTAAATGTGTGGAACATAAGATAATATGTTTTCTGTTTTCAAATTTTAGGAAATATTCTTACATTTACAACAATGATAGTATAGGTAATAGAAATTTTATTTGATGCTATAGTGAAAGTTCTACAAGGAAACTATAAAAGAAAAATTATAATAAAAAACTATAGCGAATATTATCCCTTATACCTTTTGCATAATGATTTCACTAGAATAATTTAGCAAAAAGAATTTAAGTTAAATGACCTGAAACTAGATGAGCTACTCACAAGCAGCTCTAAGAGCAAACTCATCTACATGGCAAAATAGTGAGAAGACATATAGGTAGAAGCAACAAACCTATCGAGTCCAGAATAGAATCTTAGTTCTAATTTAAATTTAGCATAAAAATAATAATTAAAATGTAAAATTAATAGTCAAAAGAGATAAATTCTTTTAGATGCAGAATATACCCTTAATTAGAGGGTAAGCATTTCTAGACACCCATTCCCATAAATGAAGGAAACTCAAGTTACTTCACACAATCTGAGATTTGCACAGCAAAGCCAAAAGCCAAAAATGCTGCTGAGAACATGATGAAACAGATCCTATAAAATCTGTTATAAACACACTGTTGTGGAAGTTTTATTATTCCTGGAGTGCAGTTTTACAATATCTATCTTCACTAATAAAAGAGAAACATGAAAATTGACCGTCACTTCCTGACACTCACCAGCCAATCAGGAGTGAGTATGCAAATTAACCCTACAAAGATGGCAGCAGTCCTACCCCCTAGTCACTTCAGGCCTCTGGGCAGCAAGCGTGCAGGCATGGACCAGCCTGGCGGGGCGGAACGCCTGCTATGAAGGGGAGGGCTGGGGTGGGGGGAGCTTCAGGAGCGGTGCTCCGGCTGCAGTACCAACTGACGGCTCTGTCCGTAGCGAAGACAGAAGGCAGCAGCCAGAGTGAAGGCCTGAGGCCCGGATGCTGGAGGAAATCTTCTGCAATGAGCCTCTACTATATATATAAGGCTAATATGCAAAGTGTCCTCTTGGGAGTTCAACTGGGAGGCCTTGAGTTCAATCACTTGCTATGATGTGTGCTGACCACCAGGATTGGTGCAGAACGAAGGAAGGCCCCAGCCAGAAGCTGAAAGGCCCTGATCGGCCCTGATCACTAGCCAGGCCTAGGGACCCTACTCATGCGCTGATTTCATGCACCGAGCTTCTAGTATATAAATAAATTTAAAATGGTTTCAAGTGTTTTTTTTAACTTTTAAATACATAAAAAAATGTTTATGTTTATTACTAGTCAAAAAATAAAGCAAATTAATACAATAATGTTTGTTTTCATGTATTTTGACTTGATAATTGCACTATCAGAGAGTACCTGAAGAACTAATAAATATGAAAAAAATAATTATGAAGCATAATCTTTATCTCAGTAACATTTAGATTACTTAAAAATAAAACTACTTAATTCTCTGACAGTATGATAATGGATTAAACTATTCTGGTTTATTTTTTATGTAACAAAAATTTCTCCAATGCAGTGGTTCTCAACCTTTCTAATGCACAACCTTTTAATATAGTTTTTCATGTTGTGGTGACCCCCAACCATAAAATATATATGTACTCAGTACAAGATACTGGGTAATTTTCTGTAAATATTATGTGCATAAAACAGAAAGATTGTCCCTAACCTGTTTGGCTCAGTGGATGGATTGTCAGCCTGCAGACTGAAGGATCCCAGGTTCAATTCTGGTCAAGGGCATGTACCTTGGTTGCAGGCACATTCCCAGTAGGGTGTGTGCAGGCAGCTGATCGATGTTTCTCTCTCATCAATGTTTCTAACTCTCTATCCCTCTCTCTTCCTCTCTGTAAAAATCAATGAAAAATAAAAAATAAAAAACACAGAAAGATTGCTCACCTCATTGCATAGGGTGTGAGCTAAGGCCAGTTACAACCAAAATAAAATTGTAGGTTATGATGTTCTAAAGATAAGCTTTTCCATTTTCTGCAAGATAACATTTTAAATGTCCCTAATAGCACCCATAAATAAAATAATCTGATGCTAAATAAGACACTAAATCTTGCAGTTGAGCAGATATGAAAGAAAGCTGTAGGTATCTAAAACAAAAAGAAAGCTGAAACAAAAAGGGATGACAAAGAGATTTTGCTTTAAAGTTCCTTTGAACTCTGTAATCCTTGAATTTTTTATTTATGGCCACAAAGGATGAAACATAGAAAGCAAATTCTGATGGGACATAACGGTAGAAGTTGATAGTAATACAGACACAGTGGGGCATATATATCAATTAATTTCAGAGAGAAAGAAAGATAGAAACATCATGAAGAGAGAAACATCAATTGGCTGGCTCCTATATGTCTCCTGCTGGGGACTGAGCCCACAACCATGGCATGAGCCCTAACCTAGAATCAAACCAGCAACCTCCTGTGAATGAGAGGACACTCAACCAATTGAGTCACACCATCCAGGCACAGTAGGGAATTTTAACACTTCATTGACATTAATGAACAGTTCTTGCAGTCAGAATATGAACAAGGAAAGAGCAGCCTTAAACAAACACTACATCAGGGAGATTTAATTGATATCATAAGAATATTTTACCCCAACATACAGTCTTTTCAAGTGTGCGTGAAACATTTTCTAAAATAGACCACATATTTGGACACAAAACAAGTTCCAATACATTAAATAAGAATGAAATCATATCAAGCACTCTTACCACAATGGTATGAAACTAGAAATTACTAAAAAAAATAAAACAAAACATAAACACAAAATCCTGATAAACACAAGAAGGCTAAATAATAAGTTACTAGAGAAAGTTACTATAGGCTAACAATAAATTCAGAAATCAAAACTTTTCTTGAGACAAATGAAAATGAAAACACAATTACCCAAAATATATAAGACACTGCAAAAGCAATATTCAGAGGGAAATTCATCAGTTTATGTTGTTCATTAGATTTCACAAATGAGTGAGGTCATATGATACTTATCTTTCTCTGACTAACTTATTTCACTTAGCAAGATGCTTTCCAGGTCAACCCATGCTGTAGTGAATGGTAAGAGTTCTTTCTTTTTTACAGCAGCATAGTAATTCATTGTGTAGATGTACCACTGTTTTTTAATCCACTCATCTGCTGATGTGCACTTAGGCTGATTCCAAATCTTAGTTATTATAAATTGTGCTGATATGAACACAGGGGTGCATACGTATATTCTTTCTGATTGGTGTTTCTGAGTTCAACATAAACTGATTAACAAAAATAAATCCAGAGACATCAAAACATCAAACAGACCATCAAACCTCAGAGGAAAGGCAGGGAACGGCGGTGGTGGTGAGGGGGTGAAGGGGTGAGGGAAAGATCAACAAGGGACTTGTATGCATGCACATAAGCATATATGCATAACCAATGGACACAGACAGTAGGGGGTTGAGGGCATGTGCTGGGGGTGGAGCAGCCAGGGAAATGTCAATGGGGGGGAAAGAAGACATATGTAATACTTTTCACAATAATTTATTTTATTTTATTTAATATATTTTATTGAATTTTTACAGAGAGGAAGAGAAAGGGATAGAGAGTTAGAAACATCGATGAGAGAGAATCATTGATCAGCTGCCTCTTGCACACCCCCTACTGAGAATGTGCCCGCAACCAAGGTATTATACATGCCCTTGACCGGAATCAAACCCGGGACCTTTCAGTCCTCAGGCGGACGCTCTATCCATTGAGCCAAACCGGTTTCGGCAACAATAATTTATTTTTTTTTAAATAAGAGAAATTCATAACAAAGAGGTCTACCTCAACAAGCAAGAAAAATAACAAATAGTCTTGTTTTACACATTAATAATCTAGAAAAATGAACAACAACAAAAAGCCCAAAGTGAGTGGAAGGAAGGGAATAATAAAGATTAGAGTGAAATAAATAATATAGAGAGTTAACCAAGTACAAAATATCAATGAAAATAAGACCTCATTCTTTGAAAAGATAAACAACATTGATGGACCTTTAATCAGTCTCATAAGGAAAAAAGGCCCAAACAATTAAGTCAAAATTGAAAGAAGAGAAGTAACAATTGACACTACAGAAATATAAATGATTGTAAGAAAATATTATGAACAACTATATGCCAACTAACTGGACAATCTGGGAAAAAAATAGATAAATTCCTAGAAATACACAATCTACCAAAACTACATCAGTAAAAATCAGATAATCTGAAAAGACTGATTATAATTAGTAAAATCAAAGCAGTAATCAAAAAAGACTCTCAGCAAATAAAACTAGACTGGTTTCAAAGGTGAATTTTACCAAACATTCAAAGAGAAATAACACCTATCCTTCTCATACTATTCCAAAAAATTCAAGAGCAAGGAAGACTTCAAGCTCATTTTATGAGGCCAACATTATAATAATTTCAAAACCAGGTAAAGAAATTATAAAGAAAGAAAATTATAGGCCAATATTCCTGATGAACATAGATGCAAAAATCCTCAATAAGTTTTAGCAAACTGGATCCAGCAACACATTAAAAGGTTATATACCATGAACAAGTGAAAAATATTCACAAATCAATAAATATGATACACCATTAACAAAATAAAAATAAAATCACATGATCATATCAATAGATTCAGAAAAGGCACTTGGCAAAATCTAGAACCCATTTATTTATTTTTTAAAGCTATCAGTAAAATGGGGAAAAAAGAAAACACACCTCAACATAATAAAGGCCATATATGAGAAACCCACAGCTTTCAAAGTGGGGGAAAAAAGAATTTCCCTTAAACTTGGGAAGAAAAAAGGAATGTTCATTTTTACCACTCTTAATCAACATAGTGTGGAAAGTCCTAGCTACAGCAAGGGGACAAGAAAAAGAAATAAAAGGCATGCAAACTGTAAAAGAAACAATCAAAGTGTCATTATTTGCAGATAGCTTGATACTGTATATAGAGAACCCTAAAGACTCCACCAATAACTAATGGAACTGATAAATGAATTCAGAATACAAAATAAATATTCAGAAATCAGTTGCATTTTTATATAACAACTAGTGGCCTGGTGTACAAATTTGTGCACATTGAAAGTAAATTAATTAGAAGAATTATTTTAATCTCGCTATTTGCCTTTTCTCTATAATAGAAGTGTCAATCAAATTCATGATTGACAATGACGGATCGAAACACACATGCAATTGGCACCAGCAAGAGCTTTATATGAATAGTGTATGTATAAATCAACTTAGCCTTTTATAGACATAGAACAAAGTTGCTTAGTTAGACCTGCTTTCTAATGTAGCTAAACTTATGCCAGCCC